GGCCGCGGGCGCCCCGCATGGCCAGCCCCCCGGGCTCCGGCTTCCCGGCGCGGACCCACAGCCGCCTGGACGCGTTCCTGCGCAGGCACCTGGCGCCCGAGGTCTACGATGCCGTCCGCGCCTACGAGCCGTGCGTCGTCGTGTCCGACTCAGAGAAGCACGCCTTCAGGTACCTGGTCCTCAGCGACCGGCTCCTCTACCTGACCGAGGTCCCGCCCAGGTCCATCCGGCGAGTCGTGGCGCTGCGGGACGTGCTGGCCATCGACCTGGTGAGGGGCACGGGCGGGCAGTCGGGTTCCTGAGCATCCTTTTTTTGCCCCCTCCCCCCACTCTGCCCGCTCCGCGCGGGAAGGAAGAGGAGAAGGAAGACCGTCCCCTTCCCTCCCTGGACTCGCGAACTCTTTAACTCACTACAGTACTAGCAGCCACAGAGGGGAACTGGATGGCTGCGTGCATTCCGTGTAAAGATGTCTTGCCCGTCACACCCCACTCCCGCCCCCAACAGGGCTACAGATTTGAGAATCTAGCCTGGTATCAAACGTACCCAGCTTGCGCCAGGCACTGTGCTGCTCAATGAGGATGCAAAAATGAAGGAGGGTTCCTTCCTAGAGACAGAAAGCCAACCCCAATGCAGATACATGCCATGTGATAAGTGCTATTATGCCTTGTTTACTTTTTTTTAAAAAATCTCCAGCGTTTAGAGCATGTTAGGTGTTCAGTTTGAATGAACGAATGAATGCATTAATGAGATAGGTGTGCACAGGATGCTTGGCAATCTCAGGCGGATCGCTTGATCCACACTGGGCTCAGGTCAGACTGGAAAGACGCCCTTGGAGGGACTGTGATCAGAGTGGAGCCTTGCAGGAGATACAATCTAGCAGAGCCACGCCTTGCCCCAGTTTTTATTGTGCTGCTACTGTATCCCTTTTACTCCAGGAATAGATTTACCTTATAAACCAGCAACAGATTGGAAGCAGTCTCTCTTCTCCACTTACTGTTCTCCCCTTGGCTCCCGTTGTCAGAGCTGCTTTCCAGGTGTGTTCTTCGTTTTCCCATTGGGGGCAGGTGTCTAGCCTTGTCTCCCCGAACCCCCCCCCCCCCCCTTGTCTGAGTCTTTATGTTCCCAAGGGAGAGGCTGGTGAGACTCTTGATGAAGCTGTTTTGCCAAGAGAATCATAACTTGTTTGGAATAGTCTGTAAGAAGAGAATAAAATTAATGAAAACATTCTTTTTTTTTTTCCTACTTAAAAGGCCTCTGTGGGATAATAGCACAGTGCAAATTAATTCTTTTGTTTGTTTTTTAAAGTAAAAGTTGGGAAGAATCCTACAAAAAGGCTTACCAATTTATTTGGTCATATTGTAGGTACAAAATTTCAAGCATAGAAAGATGCTGAACAAATATAGGATTTGAGCACAACTGCTTGAATGTCAGTTTTGCACAATAGAGTTTAACTTTGGTTTAAGTTGGGGTAGGCAGGTTAATGGCTCCCGAGAGAAATCCCTGGAACCTGTGGATATGTTACATCATTACATGGCAAAGGGAACTAGGTTGCAGATGGAGTTGAGGTTGTTTGCTAATTAGCTAACTTTAAAATGGGGAGATTATTTTGGATTACCTGGGTGGGTCCAAGGTAATCACGAGTCCTTAAAAGTGGAAAAATGAGGCAGAAAAGGAGTCAGTGGCAGAGTGTTATAGCATGAGAAAGACTTACTCGTTTTGAAGGTGGAAAGAGGCGACAGGCCAAGGAAAAGGTCAAGAATTGGGTTTGCGCTTCCAGAAGAAATGCGGGCCTGCTGACACCTTGATTTTAGCCCAGTGAGACCCATTTCAGACTTCTGTACTCCAGAACTGTAAGAGAATAAATGTGTGTGGTTTAATACCACCAAGATTGTGGTAATGTATGACCGTAGCAACAGGAAATTAATACAGTAGTTTTCCCTATTACAGTGTTTTAAAATGGGTAATTATTTTAAAAAAATATTGCACCAATGAGAAATAAATGTAATCATGCTAAGCACACATTCCTTAAAAATCTATTTTTCTGAGTTTTAATAAAATAGTTCTAGGGTTATTATTATAGTTCAGTGGCTGTACTAACCTCCATCGGATATGTACAAACAGGTGTTGCAGAATTGTTTTACCTGGTATCAATTAATAACCACAGATGTAGTTGACTATCATTCTCCCATGAACACTAGGTCCTTACTTAATATCACAGTGTATAGAATTTTCCTGATTTCTGTGTTATATCTCATGTGGTTGTCCTCCTATCTACGCTAACAAAAGACCAGAACTTGGATTGGGTACAAGTGATATTTCATTTGCATCAAAGATCAGCTTAAGTTGCACCTGGAGATCTCAGTAGGCCTATGCTATGATTCATCTCCTAAAAAAAAGAAAAAGAGTTTCTAAGGTTGCTTGGGCAAAGCTTTTATAAAAGGCCGACATTTTCCTTAAAAGTTACTTTTAAAATTATTCCCTAGAGTTCTGCTCTTGTTGTATGCATCAAAACATTATTCTTTAAGTGCTTCTAAGATTAGACACATATCGTTAAAGTGTGAGCACCAAATATCTAGAACAGTCTGTGAATTTCCTAAGGGCTCCCTCCTAACAGTTACAGAGGAAAAAAGAATCAACTCCAGCAGCACTTGTCTCCACTCTCCTCTCTTTCTTCTTGTCCTTTCACCACTGCCCCCTCACAGAGTGTCTGCTCTCAGCCATCCCAGGCTCCGGCTGGCCTCTCGGAGAAGCAACAAATGCACCTTTTACAGTCTGTCTTGTTTGCCTGCAGTGTTATTTCATGTCCTCCTCCTTCAAGGTAGTTCAGATCACCATGTTCACAACCCTCCTCCTACACTTCCGTTTTCTTCTCTTCCTCCTTCTCCTCCTTTTAAAAATGTAAAACACATTCTTAGCTTGGACCAGGTTACAGGCTATGCTGAAGGGACTTGCCAATTGATCCCTGCTTTCCCCCTTTCTGTATTCAGATCCTACACTTTTCTCTTTTTGGTTAATCCTCACCAGAGGATATTTTCCCATTGATTTTTAGAGAGAGTGGAAGGGAGGGGGAGAGACACACTGGGAGAAACATTGATGTGAGAGAGGCACCTGGATTGGTTGCCTCCCACACGTCCCCTGTCTGGGCTGGGGATTGAGCCTGCAACTGAGATACTCGCCCTTGAATGGAATCGAACCTGGGACGCTTCATACCCCGGGGCCAACGCTCTATCCACTGGGCAAAACTGACTAGTGCAAGATCCTACACATTTTCTAGGCTAAGCCCAAGTGGATCTGTCTTCAAATCGAGTTTCCTTGGCTGGGCCCAGGATGGCAGGTTTTTGGTCTGTTTTGTTCATTGCTGTGTCTCTGGTTCCTAGACCACCATCTGGCACAGCTGAGATGCCTAATAAATATTTGTTTAATATTCAATGTAATCTGTCTCTTCTCTTTCTGAATTTATTGTCTGCAGTATACATTTGGGCACTTTATAATACATTTTATTCAGCTTTTGCGTTCTACCAGTGTAGACTTACTTGGTCAAGTTTTTTAACTTCTACTCCGTGCCTCAGTCGAACCTGGGACGCTTCATACCCCGGGGCCAACGCTCTATCCACTGGGCAAAACTGACTAGTGCAAGATCCTACACATTTTCTAGGCTAAGCCCAAGTGGATCTGTCTTCAAATCGAGTTTCCTTGGCTGGGCCCAGGATGGCAGGTTTTTGGTCTGTTTTGTTCATTGCTGTGTCTCTGGTTCCTAGACCACCATCTGGCACAGCTGAGATGCCTAATAAATATTTGTTTAATATTCAATGTAATCTGTCTCTTCTCTTTCTGAATTTATTGTCTGCAGTATACATTTGGGCACTTTATAATACATTTTATTCAGCTTTTGCGTTCTACCAGTGTAGACTTACTTGGTCAAGTTTTTTAACTTCTACTCCGTGCCTCATCGGTAAAATGGAGATAACAGCACCTTACTTACAGAGTTGTTGGAAGGAGTAAATTAACAAATGTAGCACTTACAAAAGCACTTGGCACATGATAAGAACTACATACAGGTTAGTTATAATAATCTCTATTCCCATATAGTAAGTCAACTAAGGTTCCCCAGGAACCTGTAAGATCCATATTATTATCCCCTTTCCAAATTAGGACACTAAGCTTTAGGAGATTTAGGAAATTTGGAAAGAAAATAACTGTTTTTGAGCATTTATTATATATTAGGTGTTTTAAAATACATGATCTCATTTATTATTCTTGAAAACCTACCCATCTTTATCCCAAACCATGTTCATCCCTCAGCTTTCCCTATTTTAGGAAATAACACCTTCCATCATCTTTCACTCTGTCTTTCTCTTACTCCCACATCTAACATATTCGTACATCCTCTTTTTTAAAAAATGTATTGAGATAACATTGGCTAATAACACTATTTAAATTTTAGGCATTCAATATTATAATTTGCTATCTGTATACACCATTGTGTGCTCACAACCCTAAGTCTGGTTTCCTTTTTTTTTACCATATATTTGACTCCCTTTACCCAATTCACCCTCCTCCCACCTTCCTTTCCTTTTAGTAACCACCATTCTGATGTCTGTATTGGAGTTTGTTTTTATTTATTTTGTTAGTTCATTTGTTACTTTTTTTTTAAATGTGCAATGCACTCACTTTAAATATATATTTTATTGATTTTCCACAGAGAGGAATGGAGAGGGATAGAGATTTAGAAACATCGATGAGAGAGAAACATCGATCAGCTGCCCCT